ATATATATATATATATATATATATATATATATATATATATATATATATATATAAACTCATTTTCTGCCAGCAGGAGGCGCTGTGTGAGTGATAGAGATCAAGGTTTCCTCGATAACGCTGTACACACAGCAGTGCTCCACTCATAAACTCTGCATTATCAGACATTACAAGCAAGAAGAAATGAAAATGAGTTTCCGTCAGAAATACAGTGAAATAAAAACACCCGCTCCGGGTTTCGATTTTGAAACGTGCAGTGCTCATGTTTATTCAACATGTGCTAGCATGTTCCTCTCAAAGTCAACCTGTTCTGTGAGTTAGTGGAGAACAGCAGCTAAGAGGCTAATTTAGTGACATTAAAGTTAGTTAAGCTGATGGAAGCTCACCTGCTGTTAGCACCGCTACGAGGCAATCACAAGTCAACAATACACACCTCCGATGCAGACGACATGACCACAAACTTGAAAATAAAATACAAAAGATGTTCTTAACAGTGGTGTTTCTTCACTCAGTTTTCCTCAGTAGGTTGTTAGCTCGCTGTTTTATGTTAACGTTACGTCTGTCACTGAATTTAGGGACCGTCTTTAAAGTTACATACGACATTGGTACACACTTTCTGACTTAAATGGCATTTGAAGAGAATTACCTTACTTGCGATAAAGAGGCAGAGTAACTTAGAGAAGATAACTTACTATGCTTCTCTTTGTTCAACTAAGTTAGTTAAGTTCGGCTAACTGATATTATTAACTTACCAGTTGATGTTATCATCGATACTATGGCATTCACAAGAAGAGGATCCAAAATACACCTCCGACGCTGCAGACTACATCCAGACTAGAAATCTGAAGATAACAAACAAAAGAAGCACTAGAAAATACTGTTTAATATCTCCACTGAAACAGTGGTTTGCCTAACGCACTTTACTTCAGTATTTCACGTTAATTCGCTGTTAAGGTTAAATAATGACTCACCAGAGGAGCTAACTTGCATTAAAGGGCAGCAGAACGTACAAACGTGTTTCTCGGTTTAATAAGGTTTATTTCGAGCAATATAGGTGACCTTAACTTACTCACCAGTCGATGTTATCAGCCTTTTGGCGGCATTTCAGCCGTCAGTCAGAAAAAAAGGCTCCAACTCCCGACATGAAAAATGACACGATGAATAATGTTAGTTTGCTGTTAACAAGTGAAAACATCTTAAAATATCGCAGTTTTGCATAAAACAGAAATAATATACTAACCTTTCGTCGAGTTAAGGTGCATTTCTCTTTTGTCTTTTCACGGCCACTTCCACCAAACAATCAAAAAAGAACTCCCTTGCCACTGGTCAGTTTTTCGCGGGCAAGTTCACTACTGTAAATTGATTTACAGTAGTGAGGAAATACAGTAGTGACCATATATTTTCCCATAATCCTTTGCGGTTTACAGTAAAATACTGTATACACATTTTACAGTATCTTACTGTACATATTACAGTATAATACTGTTCAAATTACAAAAATCAGTTACAGTGTGATTCAGAAGCGCCAGATTGTCATAGTAAAGTCAGAATTACCTCCTCTCCTAGGTTCACGAAACGGTCGTCCATAAAATGCATTGCTGTTCTGTTGTAAGTCATCTTAATGCATCTACTTTCGGAAGGCCAAATAAAGTGCTTTTGCTTTCGCCTAGAAGCACACAGCGTCTCCCTGACATGGCTGCTTCAACACTAGCTGCGTTTACTGAAACCACGCCTTCTTTCTTTGCGTGCACATTTGGGCGCATTATGTTAATATTTCCACATAGTGAGGTAGATATGTGGGGGCATGTTAGAGCGAGCCGTTTTAGGGGGGCGTGGCAGAGTCTTAACTTTGATAAAGTATATCGCTTTGGTTTTGAGACTTTAGTCTTTGCAACTTCAGGGATCTTGTCTATGCACAATCAGCTTGTAACACTCCAAAGAGAAAGGAAAACTTGAAATCGCATCATATGACCCCTTTAAGGCATGAAGTGGTGCCGAATGAGAAAATCAGAATTAATAGCTTGGTTCTGAAGATTTTGTTTTAGTCGTGATCACTGAAACACAGAGGTGTGTAAAACAGATTTAGATGATTTGAACACAGATTTACAGGGTCATGTGAAAAAGGGTCATTTTTGTTGATGCTCATTGTTTAATGCCACGTCATCTTTAAGGGTTCTTGGAAAGTAAGAATTTAAGATTTTCTTTGGTATTTGGTCTTGCTATCTTACACAGGATCAGTCTGAAAAAGCACAATTAGGTCCTCACATGTTTTGTCATGACAGCAATTTGAGACTTTAAAATGCAGATGCCTGTGCTGTCACTAGTAATATGAAGCACTTGAGGGTGTGAGAAATTAATGAGAGCTTATCTCAGATGAGTTACAGCTCACCAAAGGCGTCTGACTTAAATATGATAGATGGAGCATGCAGATACCGAATTACAAATTCCACCTCAGGAACTTTGAGTGACATAACTGCTAATGGCCAAGTTTGTTGTTTCTTGTTTGTGTATGCTAATGTAGTATAATCATAATGACCTCATAATTTTAGCTGTTATTTCATGCCAGAATTATGCAATATTGCTGTATAAGTAAAGCACAAGAATCCATCATAAAATGCAGAGCGAATTCATTCAACTGAATTGCATGAAATATAAATTAACTACGAGAACCTGCTGAGGAAATGACAGTTTGATGCGAGTATATATTTGAAAGAGAGAGTGCTTATTTGTTTGAAGAATAATTTTGCTACAATCCCCACTGAGACTTCTCAAAAGCAAACACTATTTTAATAAGGTTAGCCAAGGAAAATAGATAGTCAACTGGCATTTCAAAGCTCACAAAGGAATGTGCAAAATGATTCCTGAATATCACAAAGCTCACAATTATTCTTCTATTAGTGTAGCTGGCTCAGTCTTAATTGAAAGTTGGCCCATTTCTTAGGTACTTCCCCCAATACAAATTATTTAAAATTCCTCAGTCATTTCGATAGATCGCTGCAGTGTTATTTAGATTTCTTGAGTAATTAAAGACAATTTTAGATCTTGCACAATAGGCACCTTAATATCCTAAAAGGTGATGCTGAGGGTAACATAATGTGCTGTGATATGTTCATCTGCCGATAAAGGAAGACTGGCGTGTCAAGCCTTCTGTTGCTCTATTCTAGAATTTTCTCATTATAGTCTCACATCTGGTATCGATGGCACAAGCCCAGACACTCTCAAGCGCTTGCACACCAGGGAGAGTTGACATAAACAGTGAGTTTACCAAACCACTGAAGGTCCTGCTAAACTAGTTTTACAGCACAAAAAATAAAGACAAAAGGACACGTTTACCAAACGTGTGCCTACTTTGCCCATTATTTTCCCCAAAATACCTGCATCTTAATCACTGACCAGTGAAATATGCAGCATGGTGGTAGTTTGAACTGAACATTGAGGCATCTTTGTTTGTTTGTGTGTGTGTGTGTGTGTGTTTTCCACTGAAGAAAGAAAATGAAAATGCTAATGTTACGTTAATCGCATAGCACTGGAGATTTCTATACATTTAATTCCAGAATTGTTAACCTGTAACTGTTTGACGAATGTTGATCTTTACAAAAAGAAAAAAAGTGTTAATTTTGCACAATATTGTATGTTTCAGAAACCAATATTTGCATGTGGAACAAATCCGAGTTCTTACCTCATCTGCCAGTTATTTCTGTACACTCTGATGCAGGAACATATCACACTGCTGTTTATCTGTGTGCCACAGTTCTCAAGATCACAGGGCAAAGAGATGAGTGTGAAGAGTGAGTCACCTGCCTCTGTGTGTTCAGAATGCATGTTTAAAATATAGGCTATAACCAGTGAACGTCACATATGCATTTCAAAGCAAAGGCAGATGAGAAAACATTCCACAGGTGTATTTTGCAAAAATTCACAAATTCACAATTCATTCATAAATATTATTGTTTTTGGTGAGTCACGCCACAGAACAGCCTGAACTAACCCAAACAAACAAACAAATAAATAAATATTATTTTAAATTCAGATATAGAAAAATACAAAACATGATTATCATAGATAATACATGTTCATCATAGAAGTAAGTGTGTGTGTGTGTGTGTGTAGCCTATACAACATTTGAACAACAGTTCTTTCTGGTCCCCGAATCTGATTGACTGATAAGAGTGCGATATTAGAGTGATATCAGCCATACTCCAACAGCCATTTCAAACTTTGTAATCGTATTACTCCGCTTGCAGTACTTCTTACAGCGAGTGTCATGGTGGACGCCCAATCCAGTATCATTTTATAAATATTTCACGGAATGTAGTTTTAAGAGGTTTTCAGGCTAGAATGTACTTGTTTATAGTTCAAATATACAGTTTGTTAATACTATCAAATCATCTATTTAAAAATTTGCTTCGACGTTTTCGGACATGTGAGCTCCTGATTGTCAGCAGCCGTTCAGCGCTTATGATTCCACCCGAGAGCGCCTCACCTCGGCCAGATCTTCTTGAATTTACCGCTGGCTCAGTCAGCGGAAGTGAGAAAAAGTGTTTATTACGTTTAAAATATGGATATTTATCTTACAAAAACACATGGATTCGCTACAGGAGGCCTTTATTCACCCCCGGAGCCATGTGAGGCAAATTTTCTTACGGATGCGCACCGTAATTTATTTCACGTCTTCTGGACTGTTGACAAAAAGCACCTGCTTACCTCATTGTTCAATGTCACTTTAGCCCCCCAAAACTGTCTTAACGATCAGGCCAGTGCTGCTTCCTCGAGAAAGCTTTTCATTCTCACGTGTTTTAAGTCTTGTCAGTTTAAACATTAAAGTAATTTTAAGCCATTTAAGCCCAAGACATCTCAGTGCGGTACTCATGCACTGTGATATAGCGTTTCTATGCGCACCGCTCACACACCTGAAGTGCACAAACAGATAGCTTTCTCAGACAGCAGGTGAATACCAATGGCTGTCTTGACAAGTATTCTTGTAAGCACAGTCGGTTGTTTTAAGTGAATAAACAGTAAAGAAAATATCAAATGTACATCAGCATAACGGATCCGTGCATTTCTTATGTAAATAATGTTAATCAGAAAGAGCAAAAATGTTCGCTGCTTTAATAGCTTTAATGGATATTTGCTTTTATGTGAATGTTAATAAAGTAATTCGGTGTGACTACAGTAATATGGGGGGGGGGTCAGTGATGTTGAACAGGTCAGTGATGTTGCTACATTTCACTGCTTCTTCTGGCCGCTTCCTCTCCTTCATCGATCGAGTCCCGCGCATCGGTTCTGTTCGGAACACACGTGAGCTGATTGTATAGTGCAGCGCTGACAGTCAAGACTAACCGATTTATGATTTATTATCGAATGAAAAAATCGGAAATTATCACTTTGGTATATTGAGAAGGCATAAATATAAAATATGAATAATAATAAAAAACAGGGCAGCGGGCCAAATCAGCCGCCAGGCCACCGGGAATTCTCCCAGTGCTCCCGATGGCCAGTCCGGGCCTGCTTGGATGGGCCTGGACAATTTTTTATATAACTCTGATTGGATTCGTCTGAAAGAAGAAAGTCATATACACCTAGGATGCTTTGGTGACCATGATTTCACCAAGTACAACATGTTCCTGGTTCAACATCCTTGTTGATCCTGGAACAACATTCCAATTAACCAATCAGAATTGAGGGACAACTTTTCAGGAAATATCTGTTTTAGGCTTACAATCAGGGTTAGGTGCTTCTACACCCTTGTTAATCAGCTATCATTTCACACTGATTTTAGGAATAAATTATGGGTAGGGTTAGGTTTAGGGGTAGGGATTGGGTTTAGTCTATATTTTTGGACAGTAATGTTGATCCAGGATCAACAAAAGATGTCGATCCAGGAACATGTCTTACTTGGCAAAATCACGGTGACCAGGATGCTTTGAGGGTGAGTAAAACACAGGCTAATTTTTTTGGGGGGTGAACTAACCCTTTTCAAAGATTAATGGTACGACAAAGATAATTCTTTCCTCAGTGGACATTCAAACTAATGTTTATTGTTAATATGAGACTGATCTGAAAAATGAATGCTGTATCAGATGCAGGTAGGCTACGTTAATCACACTCGCTCAGTCCATCTCTCTCTCA